GACAGCGGCCGGGCGCAGGGGCAACCTCCTGTGTCCAGGCCGGGGGTGGAAACCCATCCTCTGCCGAATCGGAGACGGGTAAGGAAATGCCGCTGGTCGCGCCCTACCGCAGGGAATCTGGCTGCAGGCACACGGTTTCGAGGAGTCTCCGTTGACCTGGATGTCGCCGATCTGCTGCGACAGAGCGCCGACGCGAGCGACGGCCAGGCCGATACGCGGAGCTTGCTGACGTTCAGGCCCAGCGAGCAAGAGCTCATGTGGCAGAGTTCGGGGCCGCACGCCGTGCGCCGTTCGGAGTTCATCCTGGCGCGCGCGTCCTACCTCACTTCCACGCTGTCGCAGGGCCAGACGCTGCGCAAAGGCGTCACCATCGACTGCGCCAGGGACGAGAACGCTGGCCGCACGGGCATGTCGGACGACATGTGGTGGCTGCGTCTCTACGTCACGTTCTCCGGCGCCACGCGCGTGCGGAACAAGCTGATCCTGCGACCGCCGCCGCCAGCGTCCTGGAAGCGGGGCCGCCTGCGTCCTTGCGGAAGTGGCTCGTGGAGTTCGAAATGAGAGCGGAGAGCTCCAGGGCAAAGGCGGAGCAGCTCGCAGCAGAGCTGGATTTCGTGCTGCCTCCCGCCTGAGCGCGGCGGCGCCCCGCTCGCAGACCGCGGGGTTGTCCCAACGGCTTGGTCTCGCGCGCCAGCGGCTCGCAGGGTTGCCCCGACGGCCCGGCCCACGGCGTTGCCCCAACGGCTTCGCGATGTGGCCATTAGAGAACGCGCCCGCGTTGACTGACGCGGCGACGGCGCCGAGGAAAGCCAACACGCGCGCTCGCGCAGTAGAGGGAGGAGGTGATGGGGGGTGAAACAAAAACAAGAAGGCGAGAAAAGGGCAACGTAAGGAACGGAAGGAAGGCCTGCACCCGGGCGAGAAGGATAATGACGCAGAGGACACAATGAAGGCGCGTCACCAATCACGAGGACGACGATGAGGCGTATGTCCAAATTCGCCGTGGGAATGTTCATGCGGGGCTCCTTTGACTTCGGAGTAATGTTTGAACTCTGGATGGGCCCGTAGTTGTTCAAGTAGTTTTAATATTCCCCTCCATATATATATATATATATATATATATATATATATACATACACATACATACATACATATATAGATACATATATGTGTATATGTATATGTATCTGTAGACGTGTATATTATATATATATATATATATATATATATATATACATAACACTCTCCCTAAAGGAGTCTCGCTTGTTTTCTAAGGAACTGGGCCTGTCTGTCGGTCTGGCGGCTATGTCGTGGCTTTCGCTGCCCCGTCGCCGCCCCGTCGCCGTTTTGTCGCCGCCCGTCGTCTGGGCGTGTCTGTCGGTCTGGCGGCTATGTCGTGGCCGTCGCCGCCCCATCGCCGCCTCGTCGCAGCCCATCGTCTGGGCATGTTTGTCGGCTGGCGGCTACGTCGTCGCCGTCGCCGCCCCGTCGCCGTCCACAATTGCGACGCATAACCTGCGTCGCAAGGACTGCACCAAAAACATTGCACCTCATAAATTACACCACGTTGATTATCCGTCTTACCCCCATCACCCCCCGGACTTATCGATCCGGCCTCGCGCGTTGCAATTTACATATGGCTGCGCCTCTTTATGTATGCCCACCATAACACATACCACCCCAGCCAGGCCGGAGTTCGAAGCCCCCTCATCCTATGCCAAAAAATATGCGCGCACTCGTTTCTCAAATCTCATCAGGATCCAAAACCCCTTGCCCCAAAAACTGGACGACGTGCAATCGCGCGCGTCGTCGGGCGGGCACGCCGCAGTCCTTCAAAACCCAAGCTTTCGTAAATATTTCAACAACAAACGCCCCGAAAACGTGGAACAACTCAGGGTTTCGCAACTCGGGTTTTCAAGGAAAAACAAAAAATGCGCCCGCGCGCTTGCGAATTCTCGAGAAAACCATCCGTTGTTCAACATGTTCATGCAATGCTACCACGCGGCCTCTCGCGCGCGCATGTCGAAATCGCCCCTGCGCCCCTGCGCGCGAGCAGTCGCAATATTTTTTTGCAAGAGTGCCGACGCGCAAGCGCGCGCGTTGTCGCGCGCGCACCGAAATCATTCAAAACTATTGGATGGCGCAAGGATTTCAGGAACGAGTGCCCCGAAATCATAAAACATGGTTTTGCAGCATGAATTTTCGAACAAGCCCGCGCTCGCGGTCTTGCGGAATCTTACGAAAACCACGGCCTTCAGACTGGCAGCCTCTTGCGGGGGCCTCGCTCTAGAGCGAGCCCCCCGCAGAAGCACGCAAAGAACCGCTCGTCTTGGCCCACCCAAACGAAAAAACCGTCACCGATCTGGCCTGGCGGGGTTCCAGAGGCGGACGCTGTGCGCGCCCTGAGGCGGCGGGCCAATCGACGCAGGGCCGCGCCCTCGCCTGAGCGCGCGCACCGATATGCAGCGCGGCGCGCGCTGCCTTGCGCCCGAGGCCCGCGGATAATAGCGGCGCAGACATTGCTGGGCAACCTTGAGATACGCGCTGATTGCACGGGATCAAGCCGGGACTATATAGGCACATGTGGACTCAATGTCTGTTCGGGGGCCGCTCGAACCAACCGAAGGGCCGATGCATCGCGCGTCACGTCGCTTTCCATCGATCAATGAAAACGCATCTACAGCGCGCGCGTCTTTCTCGAGGAGCCCAGCAGCATCTTGCGACGGCCGCGTTCGCTTGGTTTACGCGTTCCAAGAAAGCAGCAGGCAGCGAAACGAAGAGCGTGCCGTGTAAAAATCTAATTCAGCGTCTACGATCGAAAACTAAAACAGCAACTGGAATCTAAATATTTATGGTCCCGATCTGGCGAATTATTAAAAAAACACAAGTTTTCAACCTTGCCAGCCAATTCTGCCAAACGGGCCTCTCGCGCCGGATGTCGAAGTCTCCCGAGCGCCCTTGCGCGCGTGATAGAGGGCGCGATCCGCGTCAGGTAATACCGCGCGGGCCACTCGCGCACGTCGACCGCGCGCGCGCCGAAATCCTTCCAAAACCATCATCGCCGACGCGAGGACATCGTCATCATTATCACCGGCGCGATCAACGTCGGCGCCGCCATTCGCCTTGCCGTCGTCCTCGCCGCCACCGTCACCACCATCGCCACTCTCATCGTCGTGTCTGCCGTTATCGGCGTCGCCATGATACCGCGCCCGCAAGCGTCGCCGACCCGCACTGAACTGCCCGCTGGAAATGCCCAGCGGTCAGCGCCACCGCGGCCGCGTCGGTCGCGCCGCACTAGCTGGTCGCTGCGCGCGCCAGCATGCGCGGGCTAGCGCAGCCGCAAAGATGCACCAACCAACGCCGAACACTCATCGCAATCGCCGCGGGTTGGCGGGTGGGATGTTTACGCGAGCAGTGGAGTTGACAACTTCAAGTTCGGCAGGGTGAACTGCGCAACGTATATTGCACCACAATGGTTGCACAATATCGATTGCATCACATTGAGCTCATAACAGATATTGCACCACGTCGATCGCACCACCTATACTGCACCACGTAGGGTGAACAGCGTAGGTTTTACCACATAGAACCACGCAGGTTACACAACATGGGCTGCTAGGGACACACTGTTGGGGGCCACGACGGCTAGCATCTTTCAGATGCAAGAGCCAACAACTACTTGTATGAGTCGGCTTGGATTGGGGAAACTCAAAACATAACGCTCTTACGGGCCATAACTGCTGAAAACAAACTTGCAATCGAGACGCGCATGCGCCCAGACCGCTTACCAATCGTTGCCCTTCGGTTCGCCCTCACATTCACTCCGCGCGGCCTACCCTCGACGAAATTGACTTCACAAAATACCGACACGTGACATGCCCCTTCAATGTCGCATACTTTCGACCCGTCAATCTCGCCCACTTCAATGTCGAAACAGACCAGAGCGCGGTTTGGGCTGGCGCGACTCGGAAGTTCCACGATGACCGACATTGGAGAGCAGGCGCCCACAAGTACTTCGCACGCAAAGCGTTTTTGAAGTTATTGTTGGCGAGGCTAGTAGGTCACTAACATTCGCGCATCGCGCCGCGCGATGCGCGGTCATCTTTGCGCCCTCGCTGCCGCCACCGGGGGAAAGCACCTTCGCAGCCACAGGCGCGATGCGCCTCCGAGAAGTTCGGGGGCTCATCACCACGGGGGGGGGGGGGGCGCAGGACGTGGGTTGCCCCGGGGCACCCAGGAACCCAAAAGAGCGCCTCAACAGCCAGCAGTTGCAGTTTAGTGGCCTAAGGCGTTTTTTGTTGCAGACCTCGACCCCCCACGTCCATGTCGGGGAGGTGTAAGACTCAAGCTCGGGGGACTCGGGTTGGCCTGATGGGGCCGTCCGGAAAATGACGAGACCCAGCGGGTCTTAAATCTGACGCGAGCTCCCGTCGCACACACTTCACGAAGACTGGACCGTAAGAGTCCAGGACGGGCCCGTCGAAAAGCGTGTCGGCGAACCCGAGTGCCGGCGAATTCAAATCTTACGCTTTCCTCCTCCCTCTTCCTCCCTCCTCCTCCTTCCTCCTTCCTCCTCCCTCCTTCCTCCTCCTCCTCCTCCTCTTCCTGATTCCTGATTCCTGATGGCTGACATGAACGTCGTTCGTAGCCTTCCCCCCCAGGCTGGTCGGCCCAGGGTAGGTTGATCAAACTAGACAGCCTGGTCACTGGTGTGACCGGCTGTGGAGAGAATATTTGTAGTGGTACAAAAAAGACAAACAGAAGGAGGAGGGAGGGGAGAACCATCATTACCTCGAAGAAGGGAAGAGAGGAGGAAACGATACGACTGGCGGCAGTGAGACAGTGTGGCGCAAGAGTGCAGCGGTGGCGTGGGAAGGGTCAGGGGCCCAAAGGCCTGGTGGCCTTCTCCTCCTCCTCCTCCTCCTCCTCCTCCTCCTCCTCCTCCTACCGATCCCCCCGTCGCCGTCCCCCCGTGAGTGAAGAGGACCCCCCCCCCACACCTGGCAGGGAGGCTGCCCGTCGGCCGCCTCGGCCTCCTCCGCCCCGCCCGCCCGGCTGCCGGGCTGGTCGTCGCCCGCCTCGGCAGCTTCCGCCTCGTGCGCCTGCTAGTGGGGGCCGGGCTTCTGTTAGGGAGCCAACAATTTCTGCCTATGATCGGCATACCCCCCCGACCCGCCTGGACCAACTGATTCCCAACATCGAGGGCGCACGCGATGTTTTAATGCGGTTGCGGCAGCACCCGGCCTAGCGCGGTCCGCGAGCACGGGGCCCGCGTTCTGCGCGCTCCCAGGCGCAATGGGAAAATGCAGAATTCATCCGAAACGGGACTAGGGTGGGTGGGAACGTTTCGCAACTCGCCGGCTTCAGCCAAAACGGCCACGTCCGGCGGAGGCTAGCGAGACGCCATCCTGAGCCCGCCCTCCACCCGGATCAGAGTTAAGAAATTGTTACACACGTCCTAACGGCCACTAGCAACAATTTCTGCCTATGATCGGCATACCCCCCCGACCCGCCTGGACCAACTGATTCCCAACATCGAGGGCGCACGCGATGTTTTAATGCGGTTGCGGCAGCACCCGGCCTAGCGCGGTCCGCGAGCACGGGGCCCATCCTGACCAGCGCTGCCGGGGCCCGCACTACCGCACAGCACCGCCTTGCGCGCCCTGCGGAGAACTGGGAAACAGCGCCCGCAGAGGTCTTTGTACAACCGGGGAAGGGCACTGACGCGCACGGCGTTGCGGCCGCACTCAAAATGCCAAAGGCACCTGCAGAGACCTTGGCTGTCCTCTCCAGCTGCGTCGAAGACCAGCACAGCATGGTACACGCCACTGGCCTCATTCCTGACGAGGGCGACGTCCTCGCCCAGGCCAGCCGAAGGCGACGCGGGGGCGCCCTGGCAGGATTCCTCGCTGATCGCCCGAAGACGAAGGGACTCCCAATCCAAGTACCTTTTTATCTCCGCGACGTCGAGGCGGATCGTCGCCCGCTCCTGCGACCCTGCCCCGGCGCTGGACTCGAGGCAGCGAACCCGCTCGAGAAGATCGTCGAGACGCGATGCCGTCGCAGGACCTGTGGCGCCCTCACGTCGGGCCTGGTGCCCTGTTGACGTCGCCGCGAGCTGGCCCGCCACCTCGTCCAGGCTCAACGAGACCGACGCGCCCGGGGAGGCGCCGCAAGAGGCCCGGAGCGCCCAGGCCGTGGACACCGCCAACGGCGCAGCCCGGATGTACCCGAGGACAGCGTCGCTCCCCCAACGCCCCAACAACTGGATAAGCCAGATGTCCAAGCCAGCGCGGGCGAGGCTCTGGGCGCCGGACACCCGGAGAGAGTGCCCTCCCCAGAGGTGGAGGCCGTCTGCAGAGACCGCGGGCAGGCCGAGCGCCTCCGCGGCGGCCCGGATGGTGGCGACGACCGCATCCTTCTCGCACACCTTGCCCTCGGGGTCCGGGAACAAGGCCAGGTCAGGCGCGGGCAGGCCGTCCGCCGAATGCCGCGCAGGAAACCGAGCCCTGAGCCATGACCGCTGGGCCCACAGCGCGTGGGCCGGGCAAGCATTGCCGAAGACCCCAGCGCCGCAGCAGCAGCCGTGTGTGCGGGCCACGCCTAAGGCCCGAGTGTCCGTCTTTGACGCGGGCAACAGCCACGTGGAAGCGAGTCGGCCGTCCGTCCCGGCGTGGAAGGTGACCATGTGCGCGGGCGCGGCGGAAAGCTCGATCTCGCGCGTGAGCCACCAGGCGCCCGCCAGCAGCGCCAACCGGGGGTTGGCGGGGCCCCCCGCAACCAGCGGAGTCGCGTCCGTCCGGAGCTGGGCTAACGTCTCCATCGCAATGCCCTCGACCTTGCGGTCTGGCCCGAGCCCCCGCTCGCACGAACGCCGTGCCTCGGCCAAGGCTTGGCCCAAGGAGGGGGGGAAGTCGAGGTCGGCCTGCACGTGCATCTTCTTTGCCAGCGACAGGTACAGGGCTGCGGACCTGTATCCGCCAGCCTTCAGCGAAGCGCCCAGCCGCCTGATCTTCTGCCGGGTCAGGGGGATCATCTCGACGCCCCACTGCTCGAAGATGGCCTTGAGCGTCCGGCGGCGCGACGCCTCCGAGTTCGCGGTCGTCGTCGCCAGCACTTCCGCGTCGAACTGCTCGAGGGCGCGGGCCTGGGCCTGCGCCGACGTGAGGTCCGCAAGGCACCCCCTCCGGTACTGGTGCCTCCCTGGCGCCTCGCCCCGCAACCCAGGGATCGACGGCCGCGCGGCCTCCCCCTGATGCGCCGCCGTACCCTGGGGACCACCGCCTCCTGGCGCCAGGCATGGCCGCGCCGGGCTGGGGCCCGACACGCTGCCATCTGCCGCGCCGAGGAGTGGGCTACCCCGATGCCTGGCAGACGCCGGGCCTGGATCCTGCCCAACCTGACGCCGTTTGCGTCCTGCCAGGCTGGCTGCCAGATCCCACCGTGGCTGGAAGGCGCACATGGCGCGCGCGGCGCGCCGTGGGCGACGGCGCGGAGCCGGCCCACCTCGGGCCGCGGCACTACCGGACTGGGGGGGGGCGGGGATGCCTCTGACTAGCCCGGGAGGGCGGCCTCCAAAATGTGGCATCAGAGAACCCCCCCCCCTAAGGATCCTTAGGGGGGGGGTCCAAAACGCACCTTCTGAGCCCCAACTCGGCCCCGAAGGGGGCCCGGGGGAGCCCGAGAGAGGCCAAAACCATAAACATAAAAAAAAGCCGATTTTAAGTCTATGGTTCCGACCGCCTCCGGGGCCGCTCCCGGGGCCGCCGGGGCCGCCGCCGGGGCCTCCAGGGCCGCCGCCAAGGCCTCCGGGGCCGCCGCCAGGGCCTCCGGGACCGCTGCCATGGCCTCTGGCAGCACAAGATCGGATGACCGGCGTCACCGGGGGCGCGCCGGGGGGCCGGGTGGCCAGGGGTGCGCACGGGGGGCCGGGTGACCAGAATTCACCGGGGGCGCCCGGCCGCCGCCCGGCGAATTCTGAGCGCCCGCCAGGGTGCGCTCAGAATTCCCCGGGGGCGCCCAGCCACCGCCCAGCGAATTCTGAGCGCCCGCCAGGGTGCGCTCAGAATTCCCCAGGGGGGCGCCCGGCCGCCCCCCGGACGCCCGCTGGGCGCCCGCGGGGGCGGCCCCGCCCCGCCCCCGGGGACCTCCGATGGGGCGAGGAAAAGGTTGGGACGATGAAAGCAAAACTTTTCAAGCCACCCCTCTGCTGATATGGTCTCGCGCCGCCCTGCACTGCCTTTGCCCCGGGAGCCGAGCGGCGGCGCCGCCTTCATGGCCTGGCGCCGCCCTGCCCAGGCCCCCGCTGGGCGTCCGGGAGCGCGCGGCTGAGACTGGCGTGGCGCACGTCTCACTCGGGAACCCGGGCCCGCCACGCCTGGCGCCACGCGGGCACGGGGCTCCGCGGCACGCCGTGCAGCCTAGCTGGGAACGCCGCGGGAGGCACGGCCGCCAAACGGCTCAGGGAGTCGGCGACGAGGTTGAGCTCCTTGGGCAAGTGGGCGCACTCGAAGTGCAGGGGCCACCGAGCTGCCCGCCAGGCGATCTCCCGGGCGACGACGAGCATGTCTCCGCTGCCTTTGAGCTGCATCGCGTCCTGCAAGGCCGCCACGTTGTCCCCGAGGACGTAGAGCACGGCGTGCTCCGCGTGGCACCGCCAAATGATGAGCGCGAGGAGGAGCGCGATGAACTCCCAGAGGCTCTGATACTTTGCCAAGCCCAGAACGGCTCCGAAGACGTCGAGCACCTCCTGGTCCCACGAAGTCGCAAACCACTCGACTGGGGTCGCGCCCTCGAACAGCGCGGCGCCGCCCCCCCAGGGGCAGGCGTCCAATTCAACGTGGTATCTGGATCGCGGCCACTGAACCGCGTCGGGGCGCGGATACACTCGCCGCTCCAGCGGGAAGAAGCACTCGGGTCGGCGCGCCTCGTCGACTGGCTCCAGCAACGCGCGGAACCAGCGAGCCGCGGTGAAGAAGCGCTGGAGCGGCACCGTGTTCGGCGGGGACTCCCGCTTCCCCGCGTTCGCCTGGCGGAGGGCCCCCGTCAGCGCCGCCCACAAGGCCGCGGCGAACGGGGTCGCGGCCGGGATGATCTGAGCAACCCGGGCTGCCTTCCCCACCAACGACCGCGCTTGCTTGATCGGCGCATGGCCCTTCTTCGCCATGAAGTGGCGGAGGAGCTCCAGCAACTCATCGATGAAGTTCTGGGTGAGCCCCATGACGGCACAATCCTCGGCCATCGCGAAGCGAATGCCGATCCACTCGTGCTCCAGGGCCGGACGCGGGCCCCCGCGGAGGGGCCCGTGCGCGTGGCGGCCCTTCTTCCACGCGATGCGCAGCCCGAGCACGAGCCACCAAAGCAAGGCCAGATCGAATTCCTGCTCGCACGCCCGCGGAGGGCCCTGCACCGCCAGCGCTGGGTCGTCCACGTACAGCTGGAGCCGCAGGCCCCCGCTCAGCGTCAGCGCCTGCGCAGTCCGCGCCGCCGCGCTGGCCACGCGGGCCCAGACCAGGGGATTCGCCTTTCCCCCGAACCCGAGCACCGCCCACACGATGAACGTGTAGTCGTTCTCCGCCTCGAGGCCCCGCACCTCGGCGCAATTGTACGGGCGCTCGCTCTCGTGGAGCGGGCACGACATGAAGGCGTCTGAGAAGTCGATGACGAAGATCTCCCCGTGGTCGGCTCCGTCCGCCGTAAAGAGGGTCGCCGCGTCCACGGCGTGGTCGATGCCACGGGGCAGCACCGCCCGCTCGGGAGTGGAGCTGAGGAGGTTCACCCGCGATGCCTTCAAGTCCTGGATGATGCGGTTCTTCCAGCCGTCCCCGCCCTGCTTCCGCTTCCGGACGTTTCCGAGCGGCGCGGGATACGTGGGCCCGAAGACCTCCTCGGCGGCCTCGCGAGACGGAAATGCTCGGCCGAACCCCTTCTCCAGGTACTCCCGGACGAGGGGGAGCGTCGGCGCCTCGTTCTCGCCGAAATCATCCACGAACGAGCGATGGTTTCCTGAAAAACAAAACTCCCTGCGGAAGGCGTCCACTGAAAGGGTCGCCTCTGCGGCCGCCAACGGGAAATGGCCGCCGGGGGCGATCGCTCGCCGGAT